AGTTCAAGACCAGCGTGTTCTACATAGTGAGTTCCAGGTCAGCTGGGGCTATAAGGAGACCCTGTCTCAAAAAAATAAAAAACACATGCTCATTTATGTAAATTTTAATTGGTTTCCTTATAATAAAACACTGCCATCATATCTATATAACCCGGGAAATATAAAAATGAAAACTAAGGGGCTGGAGAGAAGGCTCAGTGGTTAAGAACATTTGCTGATTTTTCCAAAGGACCTGGGTTCCATTCCCAGCAACCACATGGCATCTAACATGTCCATAACTCCAGTTCCAGGGGATCTGACACCCTCTTTTGGCCTCTGCAGGCATTGCACTACATAGATGCACTTATATACATGCAGGCAAAACATTCGTATACATAAAATAAAAATATTTTTCAACAGCTACACTATTCATAAAGGTCCCAACCAGACGTAGCAATGTTGCACTGTAATCCCAGCTACTGGGGAGGCTGAAGCAGGAAGGGTACTTGAGGCCAAGAGTTTGACACAAACTGAGAAATATAGCAAGACCCTGTCTCAAATAAAGAAAAAGGTATTGCTTCTTTACTCATTGTATGCATGCGCATTAATGTACATGCTTTATGTTACTGCTCACTTGCAAGCCCATGTCTTCATTCATTCCCACACATTCATTTACTCATTCAATCAATTTGCTGCCGCTTTCCACGAGGTGCTCTCTGTGAGAGCAAACAGCAGTGCACAAATCATCCCCTTCAAGCCGATTTACCCCTTCAGGAGGTAAATATGATCAAAATACATTATATACATTATGAAAATGTCATAATGAAACCCCTTCAGGTCTATCTTGCAGAGTTCACAATCTAGCAAAGGAGGTAGGTGTGAGTTTACAGCTAACAACTGTAACTCAGTGGTGATTGAAGAGGTAGTAAGGCTAAGGACTGGGAGGAGATGGGGACTTCAGGGAAGGCCTCCCAGTGGAGACAGAAAGTACACTGACACCTGGAGGACCAGTGTGAGGGTTAGTGAGAGGGACAACATTCCCTCACTACTCTGAGGAACGACAGACCCCGGGTGGGAGGCATGCTGTGCTCCTCCTGAGTCATTTCAAGGAGTGAGCTTTGTTCTGGAGCACCCTGAAGGAGGCAGAAGCAGGGGAGTGGTGTGCTAAGCAGATTTGTGCCTGGCAGAATTTACCCTGGCTGGTCACAGTGCTCCTGGGCCTGGCACTGTTGGTATTCCAGAGGGGTTATAATTCTGTTGAGGGGAACTACCCAATGCAGTGGATGTTTAGAGAATCCCAGGCCATCACCCACTGCTCATGGCACCTCCTCTCCTAGCTGCAAATAGAACTGTCTCCAGACGCAGTCAAATGTCTCCTATGGACAAGAATTCATCCCTAATCAGCTGTGCCAGACCACATCTTTCATTTGATTAGCTTTTTTCAGTCCACCACCTTTTCTCCCTCTATTCAAATACACATAGTTGTGCTTGGTCTTAACTGTGCCACCCTTACAGGTCCCACTCGACACTGGTTGTCCACTCACTAAAGCTTTGTGTAGCTAGGGGTTTGATTTTTTCTTTTGATAACCACTCCTAAAGAGAACTTCATCAGAGAAGTAGAAATCATTAATATTCTGTACCTTCAAGAATTTACAAAATGTACTCCCTATTCAACAAGGGTTTGTTGTTGTTGTTGTCTTTGTTTCTTGAAACGGGGTCTTCGTGTAGCCCCAGCTGGCCTGGAATTCACTATGTAGACCAGGCTGGCCTTGATTTACAGCAATCCACCTGCCCCTGCCTCCTGAGTGCTGAGATTAAATGCATGCGTCACCATGCTGAGCTCAACAAGAGTATTTCTAATCCTGCTAACAACTATCTGGTGTGTTACAAGTGCTCAAAAAGTGGGGAGTTGTAAGTTACACATAGTGGCGTGTGCCTGTAATCCCACCATTTAGGAGGTGGAGGTAGGCAGAGTAGGAGTTCTAGGCTAGCCTGGGCCACATGAGAGCGTCTCTCAAAACAAAAATTAATTGCCATTCGCTGGAATGAAGGTTGCATAACATTTTTTCTCATCTGTAAAATGGGAGAGTATGTGTTTGAATTGATTCTTTAGAGTGAGATAGCCCAGTGGTGAAAAGTATGTAGTGTGAGCACCCAAATAGCAGCCAACAGCTTTAACTCCAGTTCCAGGGGATTTGATCCCCTCTTCTGACTTCCTCGGGCATTGCATGACATGGGTGCACCTACATACATGCAGGCAATACACTCATACACATAATTTTTTAAAAGAGCACATAGCGTTTTGCAGAGGACCTGAATTTAGTCCCCAGCACCCACATCAGAGCTCACACAACCATTTGTAACTCCCTGTATCGCCACTTCTGGTTTGTGGTGTTGGGAATCAAACCCAAGGCATCACAAATATGTTGGGCAAGCACTACCAACCGAGCTACATCCCCAGCCCCGTTTCATTTGGCATGGTCTCATGCTAAAGTTCCTGCTCACCTGGACCTCAATTTTTAGCCCAGACTAGTCTTGAGTTCCTAACGATCTTGACTCAGCCACTCCATGTGTTAGGATAACAGGAACAAACTACCACACCCAAGTGATTTTTTAAAAAAAGGTTGTGTATCTGTGTGTCTATGTGAGTGAATGCCATGTGTGCATAGGTACACGCAGATGTGAGAAGAGGGCATGGGATCCCTGAAGCTGGAGTTTAAGGCTGTTGTGAGTCACCTGATGTAGGTAGGAGCTAAGGACTGAACTCAGGTCCTCTGGAAGAGTATCAAGTGTGCTTAACTGTTGAACTATCTCTCTAGGCCAATTTGGTGGGCTTTAAAAATTTTTTTAAACAAGGTCTCACTATCTATCCCTGGCTGGCCTGGAACTCACTATGGAGACCAGGTTGGCCTGAACTCACAGAATGCTGGGATTAAAGCCGTGCAGCCGGTTCTAATTTGCTTCTTGAGAGTAAATTTCCACGACTGTTTCAGAGATGGAGCTGGGATCTAACCCTGAGGCCTGACAGCAACATCCAGGAGTTATTTTTCAAGTCATCTTGCCTCCTTTGCAAGGCAGCTCTCTTCTGAATTAGAACCCTGGAATGGAAAGGTACCAGCATCTTTTCTGATTTGTCTCCCATCACAACTGCCCTCTACCCCCCAGTCTTGGATGGTTGTACCTTATCCAGAATGTAGCACATATTGCTAAGGGAGGGAATCCTCCCAAACTTTCATCCTGCTCACTCACTCCGGTGTCCTACAGAAGACACTGAAACCAATGCTTTTGAGCACTGTCAGCTTTCCTCACCATATGGAGGACCTACTTGGCAAACAGCTCCACTGAGGCTTACAACCGATTTTGAATCCACACTTCAAAACTCTCAATCACCAACCACTCTCCTGCTGCTTGTCCCATAGGTCAAAGAATGGGCATATGCCACCAACCCTATTTCTTCCATTTCTCCTGGAAGATCCCCAAGTGAAAGCTGGCTATATCCTTAGTATGATCTTAGCCTTGTCAGGTAACCTCGTAGGTTGTCAGGGTGTTGCTCCAACTTCACTTTTCCAGTGATTTTAATACATCAAAATGGTTAGAAATTTGTCATGACTGAATCAAGTCCCTCTACTTTGTAAGATTTGTGTATGCCTATATGAGCTCCTATGCAGCAAACATGTACAGGTGCCCATGGAGGCCAGAAGAGGGTGTCAGACCACCAGGAACTAGTTACAAGTAGTTCTAAGCAACCAGATGTGGACGCTGAGAACTGAACCAGTGTCCTCTGCTAGAATAAATGAACATAATCACTTAAGTCATCTATCTCTGCAGCCCCATCCCTCTGCTTTGGACTTAGGAATAACAACTACCTACCACCTATGGTGACAGCTTTGTTTTTTTTTCACAGTGCTGGGAATGGAACCCAGGGCCTCACACATGCTATGCTAGGGTTCTAACAGAGCTATACCTTAGCCCCTAGCTGTCTTCAAACTGACATAGAAAGAACAATTAAGGACTAGGATCTTATAGAGCTAAGTTTTCAAAGATCTGTAGAGCTTCTAGGTCCTGGAGCCCTCTTTAGATTTCTGGAGTGGCTCTTCTGGACCAATGAACTTGAATGTTGGCATCCACATCGCATGCATCTCCTACCATTTGCCTATGTCCAGCCAGCAACTCCCCCATAAACTGGGCAAGGGGGTTACTATCCTGGTTACCTCTCACATTTTCAAAAGGACTGCTGTGGTTGCCACCAAACATGCCATAAACTATCAACAAAGACCTAGAACAGTACATGTACCGGACAGGTGTTCATTACTTCAACTAAAGTGAACTTTTTGGAGGGGGTGCACATTGAGACAGGGTCTTTCTGTAGCCCCAGCTGGCCTGGAACTTGACATGTAGACCAGGATGGACTTGATCACAGAGATCTACTTGCCTCTGTTGGCATTAAAAGCACGAACCACCATGTTAACCCTTGTATCCAAGCACTAGAGGTTGCCAATCACTTTATGCTTTGCAGGCCAATCTCTACATCAAAGGAAAACATACATGTATGGGTGTGGAACAGTAAGATTCCATTGAGGGGTTTGGTGTGTGAGATGGCTCAGCTGCCCTGAGTGGGAGTCCTGGGACCCTCATGATGGAAGGAGAACCCACTTTTGCAAGTTGTTCTGACCACCTCTCAAAAACAAATGCTAAAAAATGATGCACAACTGTAACCCAGGATGATTAATGCTAGCCTGGGATATATTGTGTGAGGCTAGCTCTGCCAACCTCTAGTTTAGATAATTCTTATCAGACATCAAAGAATAGCCTGTCTGTAGAACACTTATCTAGTGCCAAAAACAAAGCTACTGGACAGCATTAAAAATGGGGTGTGTCCCACGATGGCTCAGTGGAGTGGGTAAAACCCTTGCCTGAGTGGAACTCACGGAAAAGTAGCAATAGAAACAACTCCACAAAATCAACCTCCCCACACATGCTGTGGCTTGTGCAATCCAGTAGTTTAAAAACCACAACAGGAGTTTGAAGGTTCTACATATTTATTATTGACCCAATGTGCTCAAATCTCCAGGATAAAAACTTTCAGTTCTATTTGGTAGTCCTAATGATGACTGTGGTTCAGCTTAAATAGTCATGCCATGGTGTGTGAATCCTCACAGACCCAGCTTGGTTCTCCTCCAGTGTCTTCTCTTGGAGTTGTACCTGCACAGTACAAAGCCACAAGTTACAAGTTAGTTTGATTGCAATATAGCTGTTTCCATTCACCAGGCTGGGCCTTTTAGGGCACAAAAACAAAGCCAAAGGGGGGAACTTTCTAGCAAGTAAGGAAATGATTTGCCAGGCAAGCTCTCTGTGGTGACGCATTCCTTCAACTCCAGAAGGAGGCAGATCTTTGTAGGTTCAAGGCCAGCCTGGTCTACATAATGAAGAGAATTAAGCAAGCAGAGCATGGTGGTACTCCTTATAATCCCAGCCTGGGTTACCTGGAAAGACCCTGTCTCAGAAAATCAAGTGGGGACTAGAGAAATGGCTCAGAGGTTATTTGTGTGAACAGGTATTGTAGAAGGATCCAAAGTCTCCACAGGAACCTGCACATAACTGCCAGCATGGTTTTATTTAAAAGTAAATTTTCCTCTCCCTATGTACCCCCACTTCTAATCCAACAGACCTGGAGTAGATGCAGACATAGTCTCAACTGCTCCTTATGGATCATACACAAAAGCTCCTGCTCAGTGGGCAGAGGTTGCTGTCATACAGACTCTGACCAGAGTGGATCCCTGAAACCCATGAAAATGATGGAAGTAGAGAACCAGCTCCCAAAAGTTGTCCTGACCTACACAAGCAGACTGTAGCACACACGCAACAGCAGTTGCTCATTCATGATTACCCCAGAGCAACAGTGGTTTGCAGAGTTTACTAAATATAAAGCAATCTCTGAACTGTCCATGTCAAGCTGTCATGATTTTACCCCCAGAAAGGCAAAATCAGAAACAATCAACATGGCTTTTCTTTCAGCAGGATAATGGCAGTACTCCCACAAAATGAAGCACTGTAATTGCAGCCTGCTTTTAACACATCATCAAAACTGGAAGAGGGGTTGGGAGTTGCAGCCCAATGACAGAGCTGGGCCTGTTAATCCCAACACCAGGAGACAGAAGCCGGCAGATCTTTGAGATCAAAGATTTCCAGGGCAGTTGGGACTTCAGCAAACTGTCTCAACAAGCAACAAAAAAACATAACACACACACAAAAAAATAGCACCCCAAGCGTTGGAAAACAGCTGACAAAAAAATTCTATTGTGTTAATTCTGTGGGTCAGGGTATATAATCCTAAAGACTAAATGCCACCAACTCTAGGAAAATATTTTAACAGACTAATACAGATTATAGTGGTTTATCTGTTTAAGGACTTTTGCAACCTAGAAAGCAGGCTCTTTTATCATCCCATGGGGACAAGGACAAACTGAGGTTCATGACATACATTCCAATAAGTACTTTATGTGGTGGCACACACCTGTAATCCCAGCATAAGATGACCACCTTGAACTACAATACAAGATTGTTTTTAAAAAGTTACCGATGTCTGGGATATCCTCACAGAAACCGATCCAGCAACGAAGCTGAAGCAGCCTGCACTAGAGATTTCACCTCAAAAAACAAAACAAAAAAACCCAAAACAACTCAAAATTAACCCCCACCAAGAAACCCATTAAACATTTGAAGGGCTGAGCTGCCAAAAAAATAAGCATTGCCTAATGGTTCAGTGCATTTCTCAGTATTTTAAGAGGGGAAGACTGTGGGATGGATTAAAGTCTAGGCCTGATTCTACAATTAAATAGTCCCTCATCACATATACACATAATAGCACCTAGTATACAGAGAAAAAGTATCAATTAACAAGTCCTTAAGGATAGAGTGGGCGATTTTCAAGTCTTCTTAAAAAAACATGGGTTCTCATTTTAGCCCTGAAAGATCCATATCTTAGTTTTTACTAAAAATGATTCCACCAGGTTTGTTGCTATTTTTGAGACAAGGTTTCACTATGTAGCCCATCCCAGGCTGGCCTCAATCTCATATCCATCTACATCCCCCTGGAATTAATGGCATAGTCCATCACTTCCAGTGCTAAATTGTTTTATATAGCGTTGCAACCTGGCACTCCTGGTCTTCCATGTCTTTGTTCCAGATGGACCCACTAAGCTTAGGCTACAATACTCATGTGATTTGAAAACAAAAAAATCACTCTAAAGGCAGGAGGATGGACAAGTCAAGGCCATCCTGGGCTACATGGAGAGGAATCATCTCAACACTCCCCCCACCCCCAAAAGTCAGTCAAGTTGGCGCAGCAGGAAAAGTGGCTTGATCTGAGTTCAATCTCCAGAACCCACATTGTCCTCTGACCTCCACACATGGATGGTGGCATGCCAGCTCCCATACACATTAAAAAAAAATGGAATGCTAACATGCCAGAATCACCATTGGTTATCTGGCAAAACTTAAGACTTTTGATGCTTATTTCTGCTCCAAGACTTACCTCAAAGGTTGGGGATAGAAACAAACTCCTCAAAGCCCTCCCTAACTTCTGAAGTTCTTTGTAGCAAGCCTAGCAAAATTTTGAAACCATCAACTACTAGTGAGGGGAGTTTCCCAGCCAGGATGAATAGACAACCTCCTTAAGCTCAGATACTGAAACTAATTAGTAAGGTACAGGAAAAAAAAAGTCAGCCCCCAAAGCCCAGCTGTGGACTGAACGTGTATGTAGAAGAAACCGAGACATTTAAAAAAAAGGGGGGGGGGGAACCGAGGAATTTCAGGGGCTGCCAATAAGGCTCAATGGGTAAAGTTACTTGCTGCCTGACGGCCAGAACTGAATCCCTGGTGGAAGGAAAGGATCCCTGCAAACTGGCCTCTGACTACAGGTGCACCACGATACAAGTACACCCACACATACAAATTTTTTAAAGGAAATTTCAGAACAGTAGCAGAGTATGGATTTGACTGCATTACTCTGAATGGTGTATTTATACATCCAAAGCTATCTAAAAGTCGACAAAAAAACAAAACAAAAAAACCAAGCAGGACAACGGCGGTCTTACCTGATTTTGTTACCGGTTTTCATCCGAATCCACTGGGGAATAGGACGATTTTGCTTTTGTTTCTTGGCCAGGAATCGCTTGATTCTGAAAGTCTTGTGAGAGGACTGTGAGGAGATGCAACCAACTTAGTGATACCAGAGCCTGCTCACCAGTTACAAATTCCCTCAGTAGGACATCTGTCTGATTAATATTATACACCCAGGAATTTTCCAATCCCAAATCCCAAAAGTACTATCTGATCCTCACCCCATCTATGGAAGCAGGAAAGCCCATGGTTTTAAGTGTGGACAGATCGAAAGCTCTAAGTAACCTGCCTCAAATCAAGAGTGCTAATTACAGTGCCAGGTTTAAAACATGTCTTGTTCATTCTACAAATGCTAACTTACAAGTCTACCCTGCTCTGCTCCTGAGGATTCAGCCCACCAAATATCGGATGGAATGACTAGGGGAGGGGAGATTTACTGGAAAGAGGATGGTTTTTGGGTGAATCAGAGCCTATCACTTTTCAAGTCAATGCCTCTAGTTACTTTACTCTGTAGGGACACCTACTTATAAATTTAGATTCAGTCTTATTCAATAGGTCTATGCTGTTGCAGAGAAAAGTCAATAAAGGCAGAGAATAACCCTCTCACTGGGGCAACGGTTGCAGTTGCAGATGCGCAGCTCTGAGTTCAAGGCCAGCCTGGTCTACATAATGAGTTTCAGGCCAACTGGGGCTAAAGAGACCCTCTCTCAAGGGAAAAAGAAATCCTGTTAAGTCTTACTGGGGTCCGCTCCCGATGCCAAGTTCCCCACCTGTCACTTTGTGCATACCACATCTCCAGAGTGGTCCCCATTTCTGTCTACAATCAGTCAGCTCCAGGCCAAGCAAATCAAAACCCTCGCCAAGCGGCAGGAAGAGCAGCCCTGCCCACGTAAGCTGGACTGCTCGCTAGCTTCCTGCCGGCCCACAATGGGAGCGGTGGCCGAACTCACGAAAAATACCCGCAAAATGACCCCGCCTCTCGATGCTCCGTGATACCCCCGTGAACCCTTTGCAGCTTCGAGCCTCAGGGAAGCCACCTTGGAAGCGATGGCGACCGATAACCTTACCATGATGAGAAACCCAGAAAAGCGTACAGAAGACGATGGCGGACGAAAGGAAAAGAGGAAGCTGGAGTCGGAAGAACGTAATTAGAAGACGCAGTCGAAAGGCGGAGCTTAGGAGACGACGTCCGGCAGCTAGCGCTAGCCCCTTCCTGGCCCCGCCCCTGCGCTCCCATGGGGCCGTGGGAACCCGCTCAGGCCTGTGGGAAACAGATTTCGCTAGGCTTCGCCTCCGTTGCTGCCTTCCCTCAGGTGCCGGTTAGGGTCTGGGGGCATTCGTTTCTTTGATGAGGTTGGTGGCCCGTGAGAAGTACCAACGTAGAAAGCCTCGGCAAAACCCGGCAGTGGAATGGGCGGGCCCATCGCTAGGGAGGGCGGGAAAAGGCTCAGTCACTTCTGGGCGCCGCGATTTCCGCCCGGAGGAGGGCGGAAGCTCAGTGCGAGGAGCTGGGTTTAAGGCTGGGAATCCAGCTCTAGTGGAGGGAAAGGGGAGGATCTTTTTGTTTTATTCCCTCTGGTGCTGGGTATTAAACTCAGGATCATGAGCGTGCTATCTAGGAAAAGCCCTACCGCTGAGCCATATCCTTAGCTCTTTCAAACCACCCTCGCCTTCATTTCGCTCTATATAGCTCAGGGCCTTGCATTTCTGTTTCCTTTACCTGGAAGTTTTTCTAGGTAACCGCATAATTTCATCATTTTTTTTATTCTAGTGCTGGGTATTCAATTTAGGGCCTCACACATACTAGGCAAACTGAGCTATTCTCCCAGCCCTATTATTTTAGCTCTTTTTTCAGTGAGGCTTTCCCTAGTCAAAATTGTAACCCCTCACCCCCGAGTCAGTACTCCTTACCTTTTTCTCCACAGTACTTCTATGAGATAACATAAATTTCATTTACTGTGTAACTTCCTCCCTAGAAAGTTCAGGGCTGGAGCGTTGGCTGACTGGTTAAGAGCTCCTGATGCTCTTACAGAGGACTCACGTTCCATTTACAGCTCACACCTGCCCATATTTCCAGTTCCAGGGGACCTGACACCCTTTTCCCCTTTTCTGCCCTTCATAGGCGCTCTCTCTCTCTCTCTCTCTCTCTCTCTCTCTCTCTCTCTGACACACGCACGCACGCACGCATACACACATAAATAAGAATAAAAATCATTTTTTTAAAAAAAGTTCAGTTGGGGAGGGGTGTCTGGAGAGAAAGCTCAGCTGTTAAGAAGACTGGCTGCTCTTGCAGAAGACCTAGGATCGAATCCCAGCACCCACATGGAGACTAAACTGTCCATAACTCCAGTTCAGGGGTCCAACGCCCTCTTCTGACTTCTGCGGGCACCGTATGGCACGAGTGCACTTACAGACATGCAGGCAATACACTCATATACAGTTTTTTTTAAGTTCACTTAGGGCATGGATTATAAATTACGTGTTTTTTTCATTATACTGTGTTCCTTGAACCTAGAACAGAACAGTGCCTCACACAGGTAGAATAAACATTTGTTGAATGAATGAAAGAAAGAATGAATGAATGAATGCTAATACAGCAGGCAAAATCCACAGGTTTCCTGGGCCACCTTACATTTGGTGTTTGTGTTTTTGGTTTTTTTTTTTTTTGGTCTTTTTGAGACAGGGTCTCCCTGTAGCCCCAGCTGTCCTGGAACTCACTATGTAGACCAGGCTAGCCTTGAACTCCCAGAGATCCGCCTGCCTCTGCCTCCCGAGTGCTGGGATTAAAGGCGTGCGCCACCACGCCCAGCTGGTGTTTGTGTTTTTGAATTGTGGTCTCTCTATATCCCCAAATGGCCTGGAACTTGCTGTGTAGACCAGGGTGGCCTTGATCTCCTAGGGATCTGCCTCCCTCTGCCTCCCAAGTGCTGGGATTAAAGGCATGTGCCCCCACACCCAGCTAAACTAAACCCATTTTCTTTTTTGGTGCTGTAGCCCCAGCTGGCCTAGAACTCACTATGTAGATCAGGCTGGCCTTGATCTCAGAGATCTACCTGCCTCTGTCTCCTGAGTGCTGGGATTCTGGCTCAATAAGCATTTAAAATATTTTATTATTTTTATGTGCATCAGTATATTGCCTGCATGTATGTAAGTGCACCTGTACTGTGCAATGCCCATGGAGGTCTGATCCCCTACAACTGGAGTTACAGACAATTGTTAGCTGCCATGTGGGTGCTGGAAACGAAACCTCTGTCCTGTGCGAGAGCAGCCAGTGCTCTTAACTGCCAAGTCATCTTTCCAGCCCCTCAATAAGCATTCTAAATGAATCATTTGGGAACTGTATGAGCATAGGTACAGGCAGGGGAAAGTGGAAGCAAGGAGACCTATAGAGTTTCTTGTAAAATCCTCAATACCATAATGCTCACCAAGTCTCCTTTTCATGCAGATTGAGCTTCTGGCTCACTCTATGTATGAGAACTAAGTTTCTCTAACGTTCTTGCTAATGCTGATTTCCCACTGAAAAAAGTTATAGCCATATAACTGTACAGGGCCATCCACTCTAGAGTCAACCCTACTCATCTTCCTCCCGCAGATAAAAGTGAAACTGTTTTCATGGTGCTGAGAGTTGAATCCAGGTCCTCATGAATGATAGGCAAGAACTTTCCAACAGCGCTAAAGTCAGTCTGATTTTTCTTTGTTTTTGATGGGGATCTTGGTAGACACCAGGCTGTCAAACTTGGGGTCTTACTGTCTCAGCTTTTTGAATGCTGGGATTGTAGGCATGTACCACCATGCCTAATGAAATTGTACTTCTTAAAGTCTCCAGCAATTTCCATGTTGCCAAATCTATCTGGCCTCCAACTGGAGATCTTTCTGCCTCTCCTTCCTAAGTGTCGGGATTACAGGCATGTCCCACTACAATAAGCCCCTAATTCACCTTATTGAAACCTTTCAACTCCCACTTATGAACATCATATCATAGTCGTCTTCCCTTATTTTTTTGTCCTAAGCATCTGTTGCTTTTTTTCTGTTTTTGTTTTTGTTTTGTTTTTTTTTGGTATTTTCGAGACAGGGTCTCCCTGTACCCCCAGCTGGCCTGGAACTCACTATGTAGACTAGGCTGGCCTTGAACTCAAGAGATCTTCCTGCCTCTGCCTCCTGAGTGCTGGGATTAAAGGTGTGCACTGCCACACCTGGCACAACTGTTGCTTTCTAAAAACATGTATTTTTTTTCCTTCTCTCTTCACTTGAATGTAAGCTTCACTCAGATAAAAGTTTTGTCTGTTCACTAATTCCAAAGTCTAGAACATGAATGGCACATGGTATGTGATTTTAAAATTCACACTGGAGGATGGCAAGATGGCTCAGTGGGTAAAAGCACTTGCTGCCAAGTCTGAGGATATGAGTTTGATGCCCAGGATCTACATGGTAGAAGGAGAGAACCAACTCCCACAAGTTGTCCTCTGACCTCTACATGCACACTGTGGTACGTGTGTGCACACGTACACACATACAATAAATAAATGTAAATAATTTAAAATACAGTGAGTGAATGAAATAATGATAGCAAACCAAACTAGGGTAGTGGGAAGATAGAGATTGAACAAACAATGTAATGAGTGACTGTGGGGTGAGAAAGGAGTCTAATGGGACTTTCAGTGAACTAGAGAAGAAATAGTTTACTTTGGGTTGCCTTTTTTCATTTATCTGTGTATGTATTTACTGTATGTATGTGTATACATACATGTGGTACAGATCAGAAGATAATTTGGAGGAGTCAGTTCTTCCACCATGTGGGTCCTGGGAATTGAACTCAAGTTGTTGGGCTTGGTGACAAGCACCTTTGCCCTTTGCGGGGGGGGGGGGGGGGGGGGGGGCCAGGGGGGGGGGGAAAGGGCACCTAGAGGAAACGGCTGGGGCGTGATCAGACTTGTTTGGCGCCTAGAGGAACCAGCCGGAACATGGCCAGACTTGTTTTGAAGAATCGCTGATTGGCTCCTGCTATTTCCGTGCATCTTGGCAGTGCGTGATCACCTCGCGAACGCTATGCTGTGCTGTAGAGAGGAGACTGCATGCTCAAGTTCACCTTTAATATGATTGGACACTTGGTTGGGGAGGGGATTTTCCTTTGTGGTTTTTGCCTTCATAAGCCCTGTAATGCCTGTAATAAACGAGTTCCTGCTTGACTGGCTCCCTGTTGTGTCTGATTGTCTCCGGGGAGGCTGCAGGTAACGGTGTGGACAGCTCATCTCCCTTTCCCCGGCTCCTGTGTCGGGGCAGGATCCCCGGACACCTTTACCCACTAAGCCATCTCGTTGGCCCTTGAATTCCCTTTGGAACCCAAAATACTTGTGGGTCATTTGGGTGCAGATGTACAGTAGGCAGCTAGATTTGCAATAATGGTGGTGATCTGGGCTGGAAATGGTCTTAAAGCGTGGAAATATAAGATGTGGGGGCTCATGCTTGTAATCCCAGCCCCTGGAGGCAGAAGGCAGCTATAGTGCAAAAATCTGTTTCACAAATATGCTACATTAACAATTAACAAGTTATTATGTATTCCCTTGTATCTCTTTCATAGAAATGGTTGTTTTATGAGTTCTTCTGTGAACTATTTAAGGGTAGTTAATTCTGTTTGTACCTGTCAATATATGCTGTAGCTTGCATATGAAGGATCTCCCAAAAGGCTTATATGTTGAGGGCTGGAGAGATGGTTCCGTGGTTAAGAGCATTGGCTGCTCTTGCAGAGGACCTGGGTTAGGTTCCCAATACCCTCACAGAGGCTCACAACAGTCTGTAACTCCAGTTCCCATGGATCTGACACCCTCTTCTGGCCTCTGCAGGTGTCGCACACATGGTGCACTTATACATGCAGGCAAACACTCATACACAAAAATAAAAAAAATTTAAAAGAATATGAAATTATGATTTATGAGGGAGAAACCCTTGCTGCTCCTCCTAGCACAAGAAGGGACCATAAGGGAACAAACTGAGTAAGAGTAAAATGGGGGTTGCAGCAAGATGGTTCAGCAGGTAAAGGCCCTTGTTAAGGTCAAGCCTGGTACCTGAGTGAATTTAAGAACTGACTTCCAAAAGTTGTGTTCTGAACACCACAAGAGTGCTGCATCATGTGTGCGTATGTACATGTACCCCCCCACACACACACGGGGGGGGGGGGGGGGGGAGGGGAAATAAGTAACTGTAATAAAAATAGAATAAGAAAGTGAAACAAAGGAAGCACTGTGAAAGAGTGTCAGTTCATGACAGGCAGAACTCAGAGAGGGAAGGCCCTCATGTGGTTTCACCAGTCAGTCCGGTTTAGGGATTTCCTCCATAACACTTGGCAGTTTACAGGCAGGAAACTCCCCAACCACTCTCCTCACATAGTATGCTAGATTCGGTTTAATTCTTTTGCACTCTGATTAATTCCATTTGTCTCTTGTCACCAATGGAGCATGAGTTCTTCAAGGACTTAAGTTTGAATGATTCCTAGAGACTGGCACATAGCCAGGAAATAGCAAATGCTTCTCAAATGAATAAAGGAGTGGAGGACATTTCAAGGGGTGGAAAAGCATGATTTACCTAGAGCTGGACAGTCCAGACAAGAACAAGAGGGAGGTACTGACAAGAAAACTGCCTTGAATTTGCTCAGCTGGTAACAGGTTGGTAAGGAGGCAAGCAGTGCCAGCTCTTGCAAAGGTGCCTGCATTTGCAAGAAACCTACACTATTGCTAATCACTTCCCTTGGCCATTCCTCCTCATAGAGCTTTCTTTGGCCTTCTAAATATACTATAACTTAAAATTTGTCTGCCTATATTTAAGTGCATCACATGCATGAAATGCCCACAGAGGCCAGAAGAGGGTGTTGTATCCACTGGAAATGGAGTTAAAGATGGTTGTTAGCTAATATATGAGTACTGGGAACCAAATTCAGGACCTGTGGAAGAGCAGTCAGTGCTCTGAACCACTAAATATATTTTACTATTTTTTTTTCCATCTTTTTGAGACAGTCTCCCTGGAGCCCCAGCTGACCTGAACTGGCTGTGTAGACCAGGCTGGCCTTGAACTCAGAGATCCACCTGCCTCTGCCTCCTGAGTGCTGGGATTAAAGGTGTGTGCCACCACGCCCAGCTATACTTTAATATTTCTTATATTATTTTAAAAATATTTTACTTACTTTATTTTCATTATGAGTGTATTGCCTGCATATATGTAAGTGCACCCATGCCATGAAATGTCCGAGGAGGTCAGAAAAGAGCATAGGAGTTCCCTGGAACTGGAGTTACAGATGGTTGTTAGCTGCCATGTGGGTGCTGGGAATCAAATCCTAGGCCTCTGCAAGAATAACCAGTGCCATTAACCACTGAGCCATCTCTCCAGCCCATATTTCTCATATTTAAATTGATCATTTATCAAGACCATTTGCTTATGTATCTCTTTTATTTCCTGGCTGGACTCCTATAAAAAATTAGAAATGCTAACTTGATCCGTTCTCAAGGTACTGGCTTCTGTAATTCCAGGCCATTAATGGTTTTTAAGTCACTGAATCCTGTGGCCCTTTTCAAATATAATTGAATTTTCACTAGCATCCAGTCCTCCTGGCCACTCCTGTTTTTCTTCAATGCTAGAGATTGAACCCAGGGCCTTGTACAAGATAGGCAAAAGCTCAATCCCAAGCTATATCCACAGCCCTGTCCACTACTACTTTTTTGGGGGAAGGGGAGAGTTTTGAGATAGGGTCTCATGTAGCCCAGGCAGGTCTCAAATTTACTATGTAGCCAAGACTGGCCTTGACCTTTGTTTTTTTTTAATTAATTAATTTAATGAGACAGGGTCTGGCAGGCCTGTAACTCACTATGTAAACCAGGCTGGCCTTGAACTCCCAGAGATCCACCTGCCTCTGCTGCTGAAGTGCTGGGATTAAAGGCATATGCCACCATGCCTGACCTGGCCTTACTTAAACTCTTGATCTTCTTGCTACTGTCTCCAAAATGCAAAGATTGTAGGTCTGTAGCTTTCACCTACTCTTTGGATATTCCTTGTCTGTCTTTGTATATAATATATACAAATAATGCTATATATAATAATGTTAGAGTTTTTTAATTCTGGGTCCCAGCTATACTTCTGTTCCTACTTTATTCTCTTGAATGAAGTGACAGAATCCATGTCTATGGTATCAATCACCATCTAAAATTAGAGGAATTCCCAGCTGTATCTCCAGCTCAAATCTCTCTGGCCCATTTATCCCACTGCCCCCATCTCTACGTCCTATTTATTCCACACTTGACGTTTTCCTTCCCCCAGTTCACTAATGCCTCAGTACTGCATAATCTAATGACAGCTTTACACTTCTTGTTTTCCTTAACCTCTGTGGCATGGGACATGTTCAGCAATTCTCCTTCCTGGAGTGTTCCCTTCTTCTAGAGGTACTCTCCCAGTTGAGGATGATGCTCTTTCAATTGTTTTTAGTGGCTCCTCCACCACTTCTTAGAGCTGGTTTCTAAAAGTTAAGGAGGGTAGATATGATCAATATACATTCCATACATGCATGAAATTGTCAAAGAATAAAAAACAGAGCCAGGGGGCTGCAGGGGTGGCTCAGTGTTTAAGAGCACTGGCTGCTTTTACAGAAGACCCAGGTTCAGTTCCAAGCACCCACATGCCAGCTAACAATCGTCCATCTGTAACTCCAGTTCCAGAGGATCTGACGCCCTCTTCTGACCTCTGTGGGCATTGTATGACATGGGTGAACTTACATACAGACCACTCATACACATAAAATAAAAATAAATAAAAAAATTAAAAATTAGAGCCAGGCATAGTGGTACACGTCTTTAATCCCAGCACTTGGGACACAGAGGCAGGTGGAATTCTGTGAGATTGAGACCAGCATGGTCTACATAGTGAGCTCCAGGCCAGCTGGGGCTACAGGGAGACCCTGTCTTAAACCCCCCCTCCCCAGAAAAGGTAATAAAAGAGAATAAAAAAAAGCTGAGGAAAGGGGGTGGAGAGATGGCTGAGTGGTTAAGAACACTGACTGTTCTTGCAGAAGACCCAGGTTTGAATCCCAGCACCCACATGGCAGCTAACAACTGTCCGTAACTCCAGCTCCAGGGGATCCAACAACCTTTCTGTCCTCCATGGGCATTGCACAATATGGGTGCACTTATCTACATGCAGGCGTATACTCATACACATAAAAAAAAAGCTGAGGAAAACAGAAATCTTTTAGCTGACATATTAAGTAAAGGGCAATAGATGCCAGGTTAGGTGAAGCTGGCAGGAAGAAAATCAAGCAAAAGCTCAGGAATACTGGCCAAACACTGATTTGTTTGTTTTTGTGCTTTTTGTTGTTGTTTGAGATAGTCTGACTCTAGCTCAGATTGGCCTGGAACTATGTAGCCCAGGCCTATCTCAAACTCATGTTGATCCTCTTGCCTCAGCCTCCTGAGTGCTGAGATTACAGGTGTGAACCACTATGCCCATCTTCATTTTGGTTCTTATGGAACAAGAATAATGAACCATGATCTAACCCTCTTGGTCACTCAGCTTGCCTACTGAAAGAAGAAATTAATATCATTTATCGTCTTTCAAAATATCCAAAAGGTTCATTCAGTATCAAATGCTTAATTTTTCTTTTCTTTGTTTTCTTTTTGGTTGTTTTGTTTTGTTTGGGTCTCCTTGTAGCCCCAATTGGCCTGAAACTTGCTGTGTAGATCAGGCTGGGCTTGAACTCACAGAGATCCTCTTGCCTCTGCCTCCCAAGTGCTGGGATTAAAGGCATGCGCCACCATGTGCCACCAAATTTTGCAAAACCAAAAGTTAATGCGCTCACTTAGCTTGGGCTGGGGTTGTAGCTCAGTGAGAAAGCACAAAGCTAGCATGCTTGAGGCCCTTGGTTCCATCCCCAATAGCATAAACAAGTTAGCACATAAATAAATAAAGGGGCTGGGGAGGTGGCTCAGCAGTTAGCACTGGCTGCTCTTGCGGAGGACCCAGGTTTGGTTCCTGGCACCCATGATGGCTAACAATCACCCCTAACTCCTGTTCCAGGTGATCTGACGCCCTCTTCTGGCCTCTGTGAGCACTGTATAACTTCGGTGCACTTACATGCAGGCAGAATACTCATACACATAAAATAAAATCGATAATCAATAAATTAAAGTTCATACTTGAGTGAAGTTGAAATTTATTGAAAGCATTACAAATGAGCTAAGACTGGAAAAGCTGCCAATTAACAGGAACAGACATTGGCGTAGTTTCCTTCTTGGAGAGGGTATGCACTCAAATCATGACACCTAAGATAAAACAAAGACTGGATTGTCAGCAGCTGATCAAGGACTACATTTTACCTACGAATATAAAAATGCTAAAGGCAAAATGAGATGTCTACAAATATTACTGATGCAAAGTTCACATAAGTAAACAAAGCAACCTCTAATTATAAAAATTTCAGACACAGGATATAGATGTAACGTGACTATTTCTTTTTTTTTTTTTTTTTGCATCAACCAAAGCTTGTTCAATCCTCTACTCTACATGGACTACAATTACATGCTTGCTGTTTCTACACTACACAGAAAGTCAACAGACATCATCAACAATGCAAAGTAGTTAGATCCGAACAAGACTTCAAAGTAATTCTGTTCCATTCAGACTAAGAAAATTCAAGCCAGGATTAAGAACACCTGTTGGTTTTTAGAACAAGCTCTTTTTTTCTTGTGTGATACAAAAGTAAGTCCTTACTTGGCATTTTTCATCTGCTGCAATGTTCTTGCCATCATCTTTTTCTGAGACATTAAAATTAACTTGTAGAAACGGCATAAACAGTGGCATTGTGCTTCCAATTCTGAGCCTGCATTCTGATTCCTGCTTTGACATACTCCTCTGCAGTGTATCCCACCAGCACAGCGACCCCCTTCCTTGCTCTCTGTTCCTATGCCCTGAAGGCACTTCTGGATAGCTTAATACGTGCTCTTTGGCTGCCTGGACAGTCAGGACACCTATGGCCATGTGGACTTATCACTCCTCTCCTCCTTCTTTTCTATGGCTAATACCACTTTCCTGCTTTTTGTCTACTGCCGAATCTCCAGACTTGAAGCAGTCATCAGGGGGACAGAGTCGATTTCGGCTTCGAACTCCTGGTTGGTAAAGCTGCATTGCTGGACGATCCTGAAGCAAAAAATATTCATGTTACGATACTGCTACTAAGCTTTTAAGTGAATATTTCAGACCCCTAAATTAGGTATGTAAACACAAACCAAGTCATACAAGACCAAAAAATGTAAGTGTGTGGTATGCAATAACTGTTCATTTCCCCTCCTCTATCTTAAAAGCAGCCTTTTATTTTTTGGTACGGGGACTGAAACAAGAGCCTTGTGGATGCTAGATAAGTGATCTACCACTGAGCTGTATTTCCAGCCCCCTTTCTATTTACTTGGAGGCAAGTCATCACTAAGTTGCCCAGGCAGGCCTTGAATTCAATAGGAACTTAGTATCTTTTTGCCTTAGCCTTCTGAGTAGCTGGGATTACAGGCCTTCCAAGACTTTGGCCACAGTCACATCTTAAGTATTATTTTATATATCTAGGGTACTATTTTGAGAAATCTGCTGCCTATTTTTTTTAAACTTTTTTTATTGAGCTTTTTAAATCTCATACAACATTCCCCACTCAAATCCGGACCCCCTCCCCCATCCATGCCTCCCCCTATCTCCCCACCGAACCCCATGCACTCTGCCATACATGCTGAGTCCTATTCATTCAGGCGTTTGTACCCACATGTCCTTCAGTGTAAATGCATCCACTGCTACCTAATTTTTATTAATTCTTTGAGAATTCATTCTTTTTTATTTTTACTTTATGTGTATGTGTGTATTGCCTGCATGTAGGTAAGTACACCTATGTCATGCAATGCCTGTGGAGGACAGAAGAGACTGTTGGATTCCCTGGAACTGGACTTATGGACAGTGTTAGCTGCCATGTGGGTGCTGGGATTCGAACCCAGGTCTTCTGCAAGAACAGTGTTCTTATCCGCTGAGCCATCTCTCCAGCCCCGAGAATTAATTCTTTGAAAATTCAGATTACCTAGTTAGCTCTAATTTTTTTTTCCTTTTTGAGACAGGGTCTCCTTGTAGCCCCAGCTGTCCTGGAACTCACTATGTAGAACCAGGCTGGCCTCAAACTCACAAAGATCTGCCTGCCTCTGTCGCCCAAGTGCTGGGATTAAACGCATGCGCCACCACACCCAGCTCTAATTTTTTTTTAAACTTAGAAACTACAAGAATCAGGGTTAGATTGTAACTCAGTAGTAGAGTGCTTGCCCAATACATGAAGGCCCTGAGTTAGATTCCCCAGCCCTGCCTATCATTCACGGCCAGTAAATGACCTTTTTTTGGACATACGATCTAACTAATGTAACCCAGACTAGCCCCCAACTTGAGACCTATTTACCTTAAACTCCTAAATACTGGGATTACAGAAATGAGTCACCACATGTAATAATTTGACTTTAAAAATCCAATACTACACAAAAATGTTTAGGAGGGGCTGGGGATTTAGCTCAGTGGTAGAGTGTGCTTGCCTAGCAAGGCCCTAGGTTTGATTCTCAGTACAGAATATGAACACACACACACACACACACACACACTCACTCTTATGTTTGGGAGTTAAAAATAATAGTAATTAATGAAACTCAGGCTGGCAAGGTGGCTCAGTGGTGACTTTGACACCCAGGACCCACATGATGGAAGGAAAGAACTGATTCCTGTAACTTGTCCTCTGACCTCCACTTGTGCCACAGGGATATGTTTTCACATGTGTACACACAGACACACATACAGAGACACAGGCACAATAAATAAATGCATAAGTGCAATACAATTTTTTAAAAAGATGAAAATTCTTAAATGGAAACTTCCCTGAAATTATGAGGTCAGACCCTAAGTAAATTGCCATCAACTTTTCTTTGAAATGAAATATCACTGTGTTACCTAGGCTGGTCTTGAACTCCTAGGCTCCAGTGATCTTCCTGCCCCAGCCTCCCCAGTAGCTGAGACTACAGGTTTGCAACCTTAGCTGGCTAAAAACCACCTAGCAGGTGGCACTTTAGATATCAGATTGTTCAATAGGCCAAGAAAGTCATGGGCCTGGATTCTTCCTCTATGACAACATGACCCTAGAAAACTTGTATGTATAAGCCATTTAAAAAATTTAGGGCAGGGTGTGGTGGCGCACGCCTTTAATCCTAGCACTCGGGAGGCAGAGGCAGGCACATCTCTGTAAGTTCAAGGCCAGCCTGGTCTACATAGTGAGTTCCAGGACAGCTGGGGCTACAGGGAGACCCTGTCTCAAAAAGACCAAAAAAAAAAATTAACAAAAAAGAGGGCTGGGGTTATGACTCAGTTGATAAAGTGCTTGCTCAGCATACATGAAACTCTGGGTTCAACCTCCAGCACTGCATAAACTGGGTGCAATGATACATGCCTATAATCCCAACACTTGGAAACACGAGGCAGGAAGATTAGAAATTCAAGGTCATTTTTAGCTACATATTGAGTTCAGGGTTAGGCTGAAATACATAAGGTCCTGTCTCAAAACAGCCGGGCTGGATGTCACGGCACATGCCTTTAATCCCAGGACTTGGGAGGCAGAGGCACATAGATCTCTGTGAGTTCAAGGCCAGCCTGGTCTACATAGCAGAGTTGCAGGTCAGCTGGGGCTACAGGGAGACCGTGTCTCAAAAAGACCAAATAACAAAACAAAACTGCCCTAAAACAATAAGAAATCCAAAACCACAAAAATAATAATTTACCAAAAAGGGTTGGTTCAGTGGAACATATGCTTAGTTGGCACAAGCCTCTTAGTTCATGCTCTAGGGCTACCCCAAGAGAATTTAACAAAACTTATACAAGCTGCCTTTAACCCTTTCTTGCTATTTATGAAAGCTAATCCTAAAACATTGCTCTTCTGTATATGGTGCTGTGGATGGAACTCATGGCCTTGTGCATGCTGGATAAAGTGCTCTACCAGTGAGCTACTCCTCAGCCCTAAAGCATTATTCCCCATTGGATGACTGCAGCAAAACATTTCACTACTTTAACAAGATGAATTATTAAAATATTTAAGACTCTTGCAAAGAATTTACAGATATGGATAATGGGGCTCTTGGCATGCTAAGGCAGGATGAATTTGAACGTCAGGGATAAAGCTGATTAAAAAGTATGCAATAAAGATTTTAAAGTCAAGCCAGACATGGTGCATGCCTTTAATCCCAGCACTCGGGAGGCAGAGACAGGTGGATCTCTGTGATTTCGGGGCCAGTCTGGTCTACATAGTGAGTTCCAGGCTAGCTGGGGCTACAGGGAGACTCTGTCTCAAAAAGACAAAAAAAAAAAAAAAAAAAAGATTTCAAAGTCAGGCATTGTGGCTCACATCTGTAATAACAGAAGCTGGGAGGCTGGGGCAGGCGGATTGGCATGAGTTTAAGACCAACTGTCTTATGTAGCAAAACCCAAGGGAAAGAGCTGAGGATGTAGCTCAGTTGGTAAACCACTTGCTTATCCCAAATGAGGCCCTTGGTTCAATCCCTAGCAGTGTGTAAAATGGACATGGTGGGGCAAGTCTATAATCCTAGCACTCCAGAGGAGGCAGGAGCTACACAGCAAGTTGGAGGCCAACCTGGGCAACATGAGGTAGTATCTCAAAAACAAAAGAAAATAAAAAAGCAAATGAACAACCAATCAAGGGGAAAATAAAGATTTCTAAGACTATGAGTTCTTAGGGATGAGACAAAACTCATCGATGCCCCTAGATGCTGCTGGGATACCAAACTTTACTCCCAGCACTGGTAAATAAAGGTAAAGAATCAAGTGTTTATATTATCTTTCTTGTATAAAATGCATTTCGGGCTGATGGAATAGTTGATGGGAAATCATTTTTTTTTCCTTAGTTTGAAACAAGCTCTATATAGCCCAGACTGGCCTCAAACTTGTGATCCTCCTGCCTCAGCCTTCTGATAGCTGGGATTACAGGTATGTGCCAGGAAACCTGGCTTTTGAAATTTTTAAAAAGATTTTTTAAAAAAATTATATTTATTTGTGTACACACAAATGTGAATACTTGCACATGCCTGCCATGGTGCACATGGAGAGGTCAGAGGACAACCTTCAGGAGTTGGTTCTCTCCTTCCATCATGTGGATCTTAGGAACTGAACTCAGGTTGTCTGGCTTGGTGGCAAGCATCTTTACCCACTGAGCATGCCATATATGTGCACACACGCATGTACATACACACTCATACATACACAAATGTAATAACAGATTTTTGGAAAAGAAATTACTATTAGATTTTTATGAGAAAATGTTAGTGGAGTTATATTATTCAGAAAAAAACTCTTGGGGTTGGAGAGATGGCTCAGTGGGTCAGAGGACCCAGGTTCAGTTCCCAGCACCCACATGACAGCTAACAACCATCTCTAACTCGTTTCAGAGAATCCAACACCCTCTTCTGGTCTCTGAGGGCACTGCACAACATGGGTGCACTTACATACATGAAGGAAAACACTCAAGCACATAAAAATTTTAAAGTCTTAGGGGGGAATGGATGGGGGTGCTAACAGCACAGAGGACAGTAACAGGGATGGCAGAGTATGGAGGCTCTAGTGGGAGAGGAAGGCTGTCTACCTGACGAGTTTCTTTCATGCTCAGATGCTGAGGAGCTCAGAAGGTGGGTGACTGTGACCAGTGATAGTCATGTATATAGAGATTAGAAATGCATGCGAAAACATCACAATGTCAATTGCCTTGGAATGAATTCTTCTGTATGAAAAAAAAGTTGTGCTGTAAAGTATTCCTTGAGAAATGTTTATAATTCTATGAGAATGTAAGTAGTTTCACAGTAATTGTTTTTCAGTTAGAATATTCTAACTTAATTGCAGCGCAGTCTCTTTAATTTCTTGTTCATTAATTTTTAACTAACTTCATAAAAGAATAAGAATAAAAAAAAAATATGAT